AGCACAAAGGAACAGAAATGAACAGGAAGGGTCAGCAAGGAGCTGGAAGGTAAAGCAGCACAAAGGTAAAGTAGAAAGAGCAGAAAGGGTCAGAAATGAGCTGGAAGGGGCAGAAGGAGCACAAAGGTAAAATAGGAGAAGGAGCAGGAAGGGCCTGCAAGGAGCAGGAAGGAGCACAAAGGTAAAGGAGCAGAAAGAATCAGATGGAGCACAAAGGTAAAGTAGGAGAAGGAGCAGAAAGGGACAGCAAGGAGCACAAAGATAAAGTAGAAAAGGGAGCAGAAAGGGTCTGCAAGGAGCAGAAAGGGATCAGAATGAGAAAGGAGCAGAAGGGCTCAAAATAAGCAGAAAGTAGCAGAAAGGTAAAAGAGCAGAAGGGGCCAAGGATAGAAAACATTGTCAGAAGAAAAAAAAAATACTGTCAAATGAAGGAGAGGAAAAGGAGATTGGAGCAGGAAGGACAAATTAAGTGAACCCTCCACTTTATTCTGGATACCACATCATAAGGCTTTGGTACCTGGGCCAGGCAGGGAAACGCTGGACCTTCTCATCTCCAAAGGTAAAAAATATCAGTATTAATGTGTTCACTTTTATTTACTGAGTGTCAGGAAGCACAGAGTGCCGTTGGGTAGGGGTGTTGCTGATTGGCTAGAGCGGTCAGCTGGCACTCTAAGCTAATCAGTAGCTCCCCATTCATAAAAAAGTAAAAATATTTTATGAACCGGGAACTAGCGATTGGCTTAGAGCATCAACTGTCCACTCTAGCCAATCAGCGGCACCCATGCCTGACGTCAGTCTGCACTTCCTGACACTCTGTTTCAGAAGCCAAATACCACTGAGCGACCTGGAGCTGGAGGAAGCCTTTAGGGTTAAACCATTTGAGAGTGATTTAACCCCTTAAAGGAAAACGAGCACCCAGGGGCTTCCTGGCATCATAGCATTTTCATTTAGGTGAAGTTGTTATGGTGACCAGAATGGTCCTTTAATTTGCTTAAAGGAACACTATAGTGTCAGGAATACAAACCTATATTCCTGACACCATAGTTGTGAAAACGCTATTCACCCTGGCTTTATGTGATAATGGCTATGCCCCTTCCCTTTCATGACACTGTCAAAAAGGTACCAAGCATGGATGTCATTACAATTATGCCCCCCCCGGAAAAATTCCTGCGGACGCCCATGGTATCCATACTATGAAATGTTCTTCCACCTAAGTTAAAAGACCACTATAGTCACCCAGACCACTTCAGCTACCCCAGGTTTTAACCCTTCAGAGAAACTATGTTTTCATTGCAGGGTTAATCCAGCCTCTAGTGGCTGTCTTCCTGACAGCCGCTAGAGGCACTGCTGCGACGATAAGTGTGGAAATTAACATTGTTTTGTATCAATGAGGACTTTTATAACTTACTAAGAGAATATGTGGACTACACATGCGCAAAGATGGGTGATGGATATGAAGAAACGCTATCACTATTGGAACGCACGGAAGTATATTATGCCATCTAAACATCACATCCGACGTAGCGTGTGACTATAGTGATCCTTTAATTTTGTGGGGTTTTTTATATTCATATTCTCATTTGCCATTTCAAAAATGTAATAAGACAATATTGTCATTAAAAACACAATTCAAAAAATGCAATGTCAAAACTAAACAATTAAAGTGATAGTGCTTTGATGTATATACTCACAATGCATATCATATATCTGCTCTATACCAAATAAAAGCTATAATTAAACGGACATTGCGATCCAAAACCTCCTCAAATCTATACTTTCCTGTGGTCACCTCCAAAGGGGCATCTGCATTTTTAAAATTGTGTTTTTATCACATACTTTTGCATTATATAATACACACACAATGCTCTTATAACAGATTATTATAATACACTCTTGCTTATGTAGCACTAGCACTATTTGATTTGTCTCCCACGTTGGAAGTAATGTAGGACACACTGATATTGGGGTACTGTGAAGTAGCGGTGGGCTTAATACAATATGGCTATATGGTGGAACTGAATATCCATATTTGTTTGCTAGGTAGGTAATTTTAAGTAGCCTTATTAAATTTAAAACTGTATTTTATGTGTTCGCTGTTCCTTGATTTGTTTATGTATGAATTTTGGTCTCTGTGGTGGCACCGTTGCTGGGAGATGCATGTTCCGGTGTGCCTCCAATTCCCTTTTTTACTGTACTATGTTAGTTTGGAATCCAGACCAGATTCCTTTTGGGTTAAGCACTCCACCCTGCTCCTGTCCCCAGCTTTAGATGCTCCTCCAACTTATAGACCTTCTCATCTCCTACAACATACAATAACTCTCATGTCCTCCAACGTAAAGTGATTCACATCTCCACCAACCTACAGCCATTCATATACCCCTACAGTTGCTCTCATCCCCTTGAACTTACAATCACCTTCATCTCCTACAGCCACCTTCATTCCCTACAAACCACAGTGGTTCACATCTCAAACCTGCAATAACTCTTAGCCCATCCAACCTACAGCCACTCTCACCTCCTCCAACTGACAGCTCCTCCCATCCCCTAAAGTTCCTCTCATCTCCTACAGCCCCTTTAAACTCACTCCCTAAGGCCCTCTCATCTCATCCCCTACAGCCCCTTTCATCTCATCCCCTACAGCCCCTTTCATCTCATCCCCTACAGCCTCTTTCATCTCATCCCCTACAGCCTCTCTCATCTCACCCCCTACAGCCCATCTCATCTCATGGCATCCCCTACAGCCCATCTCATCCCATATTATTATTTTAATTTTTTTTTTTTATATAGCACCAGCAAATTCTGTAGCGCTGTACAATGGGGCATCCCCAACAGCCCCTCTCGTCTCATCCCCAACAGCCCCTCTCGTCTCATCCCCAACAGCCCCTCTCGTCTCATCCCCAACAGCCCCTCTCGTCTCATCCCCAACAGCCCCTCTTGTCTCATCCCCAACAGCCCCTCTTGTCTCATCCCCAACAGCCCCTCTTGTCTCATCCCCTACTGCCCCTCTCGTCTCATCCTTTACTGCCCCTCTCGTCTCATCCCCTACAGCCCTTCTTGTATCCTTCCCTACAGCCCCTCGAATCTTATCCCCTGCTGCTCTGTAGCAGACTTCTTTACTTTCTGTTCGTTTGTCCATTTCCCCTTGTTCGTGCCCCGAACAGATGATGCGTGGTCCCCCTTTTATACC